CCCCCCCCCCCCCCCCCCCCCCTCCCCCGAAAAATTACTCTTGTTTTATTCGGGTACGAGGTTTTTTTCAGATTACGACAGGTACGAAATCTATGGCTACCAATCAGATTCTTTTGGGTTCAATGTTTTCAGGAGGTATGCATTCTCTTTTGGAATTTCTTCAGGCTGTGACAACTGCCGATTCTCTGATAGCCATACTGCACTGTGAAGTTCGAAATAAAATCGTGGGTTCCGAAAATACATACGCTTGCTACAACTTGGTTTTAAATCATAGACAACATCTATACACAATCGTTTAAAAGTTGTTAATCAGTTATTCGAATACAGTCATAAGGATTTGAAATACAACCCAAGAAGTATCACAGCTGATGGACTGAAAATATATACGGCAGGGCCCAAACATTCGGAAAATTTCACTTCGAGAAACTTCAAACAAAAAAACGACACAACAATTGGGTAATACAGAAGTTTCTGAAATTCGAAAATATAATTATTCAACATTGTGAAATTTGTTCAACAATTGAACACTTTGATCAAAATGACAAAATTAAACATGTATATATGTACATCATATGGGGTTTTTTCTTCATTGAGCATGCCATGTAAAGTATATACTGTGCATTTATTGACCGACTGTGTGGCTATAGCTTTCATAATTTTTAAAACATTACTGTATCTGAGATTAAGTCTGAATTTTTTTCCAAATTGTATCGTCAGTTTTATGAGTTCCGAAATTTCCACGTTTGTCGATGACCAATTTCAAGCTTAATTTTTTTTATTGTATCCGTACTTTTCTTTGAAAGCTTCGCGTTTTCAGTAGCCCTTTTTCGGCATAGAATAGCCAACAAGGTGAAGGATTGAAACTCGCCAATTGCAGCGAAGGCTTTCTACAGTACTGTACTTTCTCTTGATGCATTGATTACCTAGCAGAATGATCAACAGTTTTGAAGCATGCATTATACTGTATTTACAAATATTTTGTTTCAATTGAACTCTTTTTTCTCCAGTCTAGTATTTACTATGTACAACGGCAATAAAATATTTAGTAGCATGCTGAGTGTAAACTGGAAAATGGCAATTTACTTTTACATGTGGAGAGTGGTCTTACGCTGTGACACGTTTGAGATGCTAACGCTGATGGATATAAGTACCGATGAGAGGAGTTTGCAGAAAACGGTTAGTCGGGCTGGATTATTTTATGCCGGGAAATTGGTAAGTGGTAGCGATGCTATTCCTGGCAGAGTGCTTTCTAGATGATGGACCCGTCCAAGGGGCTGAAAAATGAATGAGCCGTGGGGTAGAATCGCTAATTGCTCAGAGACGAAGTCGTTACTGAGACTCGGGAAGCGGGGGAATGAGCATCTCGGGATCGAGCAGCAAAGATGAGTCTTACCGTTAATGCCATCGCGACCTGGCGTGCCGGGAATTCCGTCGATGCCCGGGAACCCGTCGACACCCGACACTCCGTCCACGCCATTTCGTCCGGGAATCCCGTCGAGTCCCGGCTCCCCGGGCAGTCCATCCAAGCCGTTCAGTCCGGGGTCCCCTGGAAAATTCCCAGTCGGAGAATTCGGGTAAGCCATTTTCATTTGATAACGAATTCGGCGCTGCCTTATTTTCTTACACCCGAATCGTGAGAATTAAATGCGTCAGGGCGTCAAAATCAGCACCTCGTCTCGTATGCAGATTTCATATCGTTTCTTTTATTCTGTATTATATTTCTGACTGTCGCAGCCAATCGATCCATTCTTTTGAAACTGCCTTACCCGGTCGATTGCCCCTTCGACCCCACTTTTCTCACTGTGCTTTCACATAAAATTATTCATTCACGTAAAAGAAGAAATCCAAATCGCAATGCACCCGACCGTGAATGTATCTTATTTCTTTAAAAAAAAGTCTTATATCGGGTTCTTGGCAACCACGCTAATAAAATATGTCCCATGATGTGGTAAGGTCGATGAAAGGTTAATTAAATGTATTTCAGCTTGTATTGCGAAATTAAATTTCAAAGAGAGAACAAGAAGCGAGATGTGAGATATGTTTGAAATTCCACACCTAATTTTTACGTAATTAAATATAATTTTCCCGCTTGATAAAACGTTTACTCAAAAATTTTCAGTACAGTGTTAGGTGAAAATTAACATTTTCGAAGAGTATTCGATTTAGCAGATGCAATAAACTGTGTACGGAAAAATTACCTTTCTCGAAAGGTTATCCCAAGGATCCCAAGATTACATCTTGGGTCGTGTGGTCCCACATAGTTCTTTCAAATGAAGTACGGGTTGTTCAGTTCTGATGTTAAAGAGCCAGAATATTTCAGTAATTCGTAATTCGTGAATAAATGATATGCATACAAGAAGATGTGTACAGTACTAGTACTCTTTAAAATTCAACAATTTTCTGGGTTCAAAAAAAAAGAAAAAAACACGCCATGCGCATCTTAATAGTTTCGACGGGAAGTTCTTTTGTCTCATTCCATATAGAACGTATACTGAAAATAAGCCTCTGTGCATTTCTTAAACGAAAATTATCGCACAATGGGGTCTTATTTTCGGCGGAACAGAACCGTGTACAGTATAGTCGTTGAAATCTGAATGCCATTCATAAAGGCTCTGCAATTACTCTTCCTCAGAACAGGCCGGGATTCCGACCCTACCAGGGCAAGTTTTAATCTTCGGCTGCGAGAGACAAAAGGATATTTGTATGCGAAGTGGAATTCTTTTTCACACCCTGGCACGTCTCCAATAAAACGAGGTCTCCCGAGTGACGGAACATTCCGGTTGTTATTTTCCATCTCCGGGGACCCGGGTAGCGCATGAATAATTCATGTTTGAGCGTGAAAAATTGAAACCCGGACAAACTTCCGGTCCAACTGCAATTAATCAAGGTGAATGTTGGGGCAAACGGGTCATGCATTCATGATGCAAATTTGAAGAGAATCCAAAGTTTTCTCTGCATTAAAAAGCCAAGATGCGCGGGATTTTTGTTCATAACGAGCGGGCCAGAGAAAACCGAACTCTGAGAATCCCTTCACCTGGCAGGAGAAGAGAGATTAAATACAGCTTTCACCGTATAAATATCCTCGCTGGGACAGCTTTTTGACGTCTACATTAAACAAAGATCGAAGTGATGATGTTTGAATCACCAGATGCAACGTGAACAGACTGTCTCCGTTTGTTTTTGATTCAACGAAATCTATTTTCAAAGTGTTAGAGTTTATCTCTTGTGAATGTTCGAGGATCCCAATAGCATTTCTGGAAATTTTTAAAAATAACTGTCAACACTTCGCACTATACGGGCTTTCCGAAATGACGCCGGATCTATCTAGCGAAAACTGTGGTCATGACTTCCAGTCCAATGTAAAATGATAAATTTTTGCGACGGTGCAGAAAATGAAGTCAAATAAAGTAGATTGCTGTAGTTTATATTATTTTGAGCAGTGATCCTCATACATTTCCGTTTGAATGCAATTTAAGAAATATTTTCCTCGATGGGAACAAAAGATATGAAGAATCACCACAATATTTATCTTGATACTGTAGATTGCTTTTATACATCGTTGGTCCTTCGGAACCGGGCTTAAATGTTTCCCAGAAGAACAGATTCTCCCTTTTCTTCAAAATGATGCGAGGGTGAGAAGAGCAATACGCCAAGCAATATATTGTATGCTATAAAACGATCAACGAACTCTTTTTGATCGTGACTAGAATACAAAGGAATCCCATTATCGTGTAAGAAAAAATGTGATCATAATAATTGGCCAATAAAAATATTTCTGAAGTCCTGCTGATAGAAACTGTGCATTCTATACTGCTATCAAAGTTAGACTCTGAAAAAATTTCAAAATTATGCGACAAATGTCATTATTGAGGCTTTCGAGGACAACTTCGTTGGAAAGCATGTTTTATGTCTTCATCAGGAACAGCTCAAATTTTTCAGACAAAAAACTATTTTAGGCGATGAACGGTATTCATAGTTTTCAAGAAAGCTGCATTTTAATTATGTTCTTGGCGTTGGCGACCAACCACTTATTGACACCAGTGTTGTCGCGTCACATTTTTTCAACTCATGCCAAGATGGGAAACCCAAAAGTTAATGATGAGTAAAAGTTATGACAATGATAGCATCCAATCACTTCCGAGACACAAAAAATTTCGTTTGGCGCATATCAACGCGTGGGAAGTGCGAGAAATGTCCTTCATGCCCAGACAAGGAAAGGACTTCATATTAAAATTGGCTGAACTTTTTAGAAGCATAAATACCGGACCAAGAATGTTATTCTAAAATGCATCAATTATTACAATTTATAAATATTGCATCGGTTCTGCTGGAATTTTATTGATTCAACGATGTTCATTGGAGCAAGCAATTCTTCCCGAAATATTTCAGAAGAAATAAATTTTAACAGTTTTTTCTATGTCGGAGTTTATGAAAGCCCCGATGAGTTGGTTTCGAACATATTTTACCACACTCCAGAGTTTTTGGTTCAAGACACGTGTTCAAAATTTAGAGTGTATCATTCGACCGATAGACAAAAAGCAGACCCACCTTTGTCGCCCTTTTGGCCTTCGTAGCCACGTTCTCCCTTCGAGCCGGTAAGGCCAGGTGGCCCGATCGGACCTGGCTTGCCGCGCAAACCTTTCGGCCCAGTTACCCCGGGCTTCCCGGGCAGGCCAGGAAACCCAGGCGGTCCTTGCGGCGCAGGAGGACACAAGTCTTTCGTCTTGGAGCACACTTTCCGGATCGTTGTTTCCTGATGGATGAGAACGGAAGACGGAGACAGGTTTTACACGTGTGTACTCGGTAAACTGCCAGCTCGCGAGCTAGCAAACTAAAATCAACGCGGGCACGGAATCAATGTGCTCTGGCCACATGTCATTCAGGGGCAGACATTAAATAATTAATCGTGACGCATCGTTTTTTTTCCCTGGCATTTCCACCTTCATTCGTTAGGCTACCGTCGCTTCTGTCGCGTGAACCACTTCTCTGAAACGTAATTTCTGCTCAACATCGAATGCATCTTCAATAGAAAAGCATCGCTCTCACTATATTCACGCAATTATTCGCTGTTTATTGATCCTTGAAACCAATTGATTTGAAACTAAGGCCCGAAAAATTTTTGAACAATAGAAGGGAACTATACTGCCCAATTATACCGAGAAAACCCGTTAATTTTCCTGAAAGAATTAACAAAAGTGGAAATTAACAGACAGGTTCAAATTCAAGTCCAGGAAAGAGCGCATAATATTTGAAAGGCATTCCGAGAGTGGAAACAATTTTTATTTTATTTCATTTCGACATGAAAAAATCCTCAATCACATTCTTGTTGCACAGTCGATTTATTTTACTGTTTCCACATTCCATAGAAACTAGTCCGTCAAGTATTTCAGTAAATATCTCATTGTGGTACAGTACTTGACTTTCGGAATTTCGAGGCATGTTGCATCTGACCATCAAGCACGGGGGAAAAAGCTGGAACTAGCCTAACCAGACCGTTGTCTGCATGATAAACGAAACATGTGTGACCTAGCATGGATACTATATAATAGGGGATAAAATGTAGATGACCCCTATGCAATGAATTGAGAATCAGAGCTGGAACATCCGGCGTTGAAGTGAAGATTCCGTTCTTCTGCGGGAACAACTTCCGCACCCAAGTCAAACTTCGTACGCAGGAAGATCGATGGAAACAAAATCTATTCAATATTAATTATTGTCGATGGCGTACGTTTGCCTTGGTCGCCAGAAGTCCCTCGTCGCGCACTTTGACCTTATAATTATTTCCTGCCGGCGGAACTGTCTCGAATATAGTTGCCATTCGGCCTGTCAGGAGCACTGATTTGTTAGCGTGACGAGCAATGAAAACGCCTTGACCCGGCACGTAAACTTGTTCCCCCCGCAACCCATTCCTGATTGTATCTGTCGAGGCGGCTCGTCATTTAACACAACACATTCCCTTCGCTCGGGAACCTGGGGCTGACAGTTACGCATTCAATCCGCCTCCAAAGGGAAGCAGTTGCATCAGGAGCACAAACGCAGGGGCGGCGAAGAATGCCCTGTCCAAGTTATCCGGGACAACGCGCAGCGTTTCGTCCCACTTTAATGCGGGCTGTCTCAAAATCCCGGACTGCAATCGCGGCCACTAACGCCTGGGGTTGCATAATGAATGCTGGCAACAGGCCTGCGGATGTTCCCTGAGGTTAATTTCTGTCTGGCCTCGTGAAATCCCCCGTTTCCCGTTTTCCGCCCAACATCTGCGTTCATCCGCCTAAAGGAGATTCTGGAGACACAGTTTATCCTCGTCTCACCGTCGGTGGCGTGTGAGTTGCGTTGTTCTTGAACAAGCCCACAAAAAAAAACGAAACCCGCGTTTTGATCTGAACACGACGCACGCTATCGGAGATTTCCGTTCATCGCTGCTGATGACGTTGCATTATTCCACACGACCACACAATCACTGCTCTGAATCCTCAAATTCCGTAAACTCTTGCTCAGACTGCGGATTTCTTCATTTTCTATGCGCCTAATAACCACGAAGGAGACTCAATACAATAATTGTCCTCACATCATGCTGCACTAAACAGCATGTGCTATACGGGAAGTCAAAAGGGTTCCGTGGGCTATTCCAAGCGGCTCCATGGCTACTTCGCGGAATCGATGAAAGAAATTGGAATAGGGTAATATCAAGATCATTTTCTGGACAAAATTGCAATCAAGTACAGTATTAGTGCATGGATGCAGATAGATTCGTGATTTTATAAAGCCCTTAAAGTTATTAAAAAACGTAGAATAAGTTGAAGGGGTTCGACCATAAAAATGTATTGTATATCAATAGCAGCGCGTCAGTGAAATTGAAATTAGAAAGGGCTCCTCAGGTCAAACATGCTGAGCAAACTTGCGAAATTAATCTTCAAAGTTTTCAGATACCTTCTGCGCATGTCTGTTTGATGGAACAAGGTCATCCAGAGCAATATTCTGAAGTGTGTCAGGTGCAGAGGTCTAATAAAATCTTACTATACAATGCAAAAGCTTCTCAGCGTAGTCTCCATAAATTTCCGTCTCTGTCTCACTCTCGATGCTTTTAAGTATTCCCTGCAAGGTTTTTCTTGTTCACCAAGTCCGACAATCAAACTGGGATTCGAAGCTCTTTATGGCTCCAGTTGCAGAAAATTATGAGACCTGGGTCAGGTCTCATAAGCATTGTCTCCCACGACGCCCAATGATTTTCACCTACTGGCACGTCTGAGCTCAAAAACACTTCGTCCGCTTTTTTTCTTCGCACACTTCAAGAGGACTATACAGCACTTAACGTCAAACTTCACTAACTTCACCACAATCAACTCCAAGAAGCCATTTGCGGAAGGTATCGAATCTGAAGACGCATTATGCTGAAAGCCTGAATAGTTCTTTATTCTCATGGAACGTGAAACGAGTCCAACAATGTGCAAACTGATGAGCATCCTATAACAACTTCATTCGATAGAGGCATTCTTTTTAGGATCAAAATGCTGCGGATTGATGGTTTTCTCGGTGAACTTCTCTGAGACGAAGATAACGTCGAACGTTTCGATACTTGGAATAAGAATACTTCCGATATTTTCGCGGTAAATCAACTCACCGTCGGCTGTCATGAGTTCATTGCGGTTGTCGATGAAAAAGCGGCGTCTGAACGTTTCGTGTCAAATCGAATTTCCCCGGGGGGAAAAGCCTCTTCTTCTTTTCTTTCGCCAACATCCACTGATGTTGTCAAACGTTGATGCGTTTCTCTGCTGGTCCGCGAAACACGTAGTTCAATATTTCGCTGTAGAATGGTGCCCATTCAGTCTTACGTATACGAGTTGATAGGCGTTCGGCATCGCGAGTCCGCAGCTGAATGCAGGGGGGACGCGTAGCCTTTTTTATTGCGAGTGAATTCCTTTGTGTGCCGTCGTTCGACCTATCTTTTAATTTGATCTTTCGCGCCTCGGTTCGTTCAATTGATGCCGTGCTTTCCGATTGAGCGTGTTCGCGTCGGAGTAAAGAGGTTCCCAGAATTCGGAAGTGCGTGCGCCTTAAACCTCCTGAGAACACCGACCCTCACGACATTTAAACATAAATCTAGGGCACCGTTTCAGGGCTGAAGAAACTCTCGGCTTCCATTTGCGGAATAAATTCGAGAACTTTTTTTTTTTTTCGTTTCAACATCGCACCAGGTTTTTTTTTTCGTGCGCGTGTTGGCAACATGCATTATTGTGAGCGCTTCAGAACAACTCCACGATAAAGCTGAAGTCGTCCTGCAATGTGCCTATCAGCAGAAAAATAACAGGGATCTTCCTGAATTATTATGGCGCAGCAGGTCTAGGGGGATCAGAGAGAGAGAGGGAACGGATATCGTCGTATAATCGGCACACGGGTAGTTTTTTATTTAGTTTATCTTTTCAAAATGAAAACCAGAATAGTTCAAATTTCCTCAAGTATGAATGACAGGGAGTTCATAGATATTTTTTACCGACGAAGACAGCCAGCAATTTAAGCTGTCCCTTAACAAGACATCAGTGATGTAAGCATCCGTCAATATTTTTGAATTTCATGCCTCTTTTTTGCTACATTTTCGATAGATGTTTTCGCATTATCATACAAACTATGTGCTGATGAAAATAAGTTATTATCCCGGATTTCTAAAATGATCGAGCAATTTCGTAGCACTACGTAATACGGTATCATCTTCTTCTTTGGGCAATTTTCTCAAGTCCGAGTGAAAACAGTTTCAATATTGACTCGATGCGTGATTGAAGTTATCCGTCGCAAAAGGGATCAGTACGTCTAGCAATATACCGAAGGTTGAATTAAAATTAATAGATTTCCCATCCTCAAGCTTTACGATATTTTATGAACTGTTCTTTTGCAGTCAGATAATTAATTCATCTTAAAAGTTGCCTGTTTGTTTGGCCAAAATTACCCTAGATATGTGCAGTTTTGTGGAAACGTTGAGACGTTGAAGTTGGGGTAAATTTAAGCAAACTTTGTGCGGATTAAGGAGGCAAAAAACATTATGTTTCAAATAGCTAAAATTAACCGTAGAAGCTCGAAGTTTTTTTCAATGGTCAAGTTTAATATTTTTTCATTTGCTGAATAATTGAGCGGATTTTACTCAAAGAGAAACGGAAAATATTCTGAATCCGATACAATGAATTGATAAAGCCGTTCAGAACTTTCTTTGCGTCCCTTGACAGCATCGCAACATTCGGGTTTCATCTGGTGAGATTCATTAATGGATGATGGTCGCTTTCGCACAAGCTTGATGGCTCCGAGGATCCACCACATCTAGCCGAACGACTACTCGGATTATGCGCTACTTCATAGTATTATTGGCACTGAGACGAGCATTGCATCTTCTCAGAGCAGTTTCTTTTTTTTGGAGGAAGCTGTTCAGAAAAAAACGAAGAAATACAAAAACGGGAGATTCCGGAAGCGATTCTTTTCGGGAGAAGAGGAACAACGGTTCACTTTGAATTTCACGGAACTTTCGGGATTTGCTGTCGTTAGCGGGGTGCCGGTTGAAGAACATGCTGCGAGAATGTTCCCATCTTTTTGGCACGAATTGTGAGAGTCAAAAGTGGCTCCTCGATCCCGTGTTTCGACCCCCGAGAGAGTGCAGATCGATGTTTGCCATCAGTTTTCGTTCGGTAGCGGAGCGATTTTTGATGCAGCGGATGGCGTTTTCCCTCGTCATCAGGTGAAAAATAGTCAGTCTATTTCCCTCTTCTCAGATAGAAAAAAAGGCTTCTGCGGAATGAACAGTCGCTTAACTGCCTCAGGCAGTAACTTATCGGGCACTCACGGAAATTAAACTGGGTGCGGTTTGAGGATCACTTTAATTTTTATTTTTGGGTTGTGCTAAATTCCATCACATCAACCGGAAATGTCTCATAACACAGTGCATCGATCATCATTTCTTAATCTCTGGGAAAGTCCTCGTCAATAAGTAAAGTATGTGACCGAAAGTGAAAGTGCAGAACAGCACTCATGCGTTTCCGAGATATCAGCGCTGAAAAACACTCCTCGCAAACGCAGGAAGTCGGACCTAGATCCGATATTGTTAGGAGAGTTAACAATTTGTAAGAACAAGGCACATAACTTCATGAATGAAGTGATAAAAATCGGTAATTTGGTTCCCTTTCAATATTAATACATTTCCGGTGATTATACGGGTTTCCATTTGTTGATCTTGTTATAATTTTATGCTGTGGACCCGCGCTGTTTTGGGGCGTGCCGCTTTGAACCGCACCCAACTATCGCAAGGACATGAAAAAGCAACGGTCCACTAACATTTCTCACACGATTAAACGAATGCGCGGATCATTTTCAGCGATCACTGAAAACCGAACATGCCGGTAACAAGCAGCATCTCAGGATATTAAGAAGAGCCGCGCGTTGTTTTCAGTAGGAGAACAAATGGTAATCATGGTGGCAATTTTTGAGCCCACGGTTATTGGCACGGTATAAAATTATGGGTTTGAGAGCGGTCGAGTTGAAAAAATATGGAGGCAGTTATGTGAAGCGATTCTGGCCGAGCCCACGCGATTATGCAGGGAACATCGTGATGAAGATATGCGCGCAGGTTACGGGAAGGATCCCGTGGCTGATCGCATTATTTTCTCCAGAACGGGGGAAGAAATGCTGGAAATTTATCTCGTTTCCCCGAGCCGAGGTCATGCGTGGAATGGAATGAGTGTCTGGCTCACATCAGAGTCGTCGCGTGCCTGTAGAAAATTCCTGGAGTACTATACTTGAAAATTTCCTGGGATCCCTGAAAATTGGAGCAATTTCCTCGTCCGC